TTTTTTTTTTTTTTTTTTTCCATGCCAACTACTTCTACTTCTTCCTTTAAGTGCATATTATACCTGCCATATTTCAGCTTAATTAAATGAAGATCGCGTGATGGAATCATACTTGTTTTCCTTTTGTACAGAATAAATATCTGAGAGCTACATCAGAGGAGGAGATATTTGCTTATCTTGGTCTGGAGTACATCCCTCCATCAGAGAGAAATGCTTGAAGTGGCCTGATCAGCTGCTACACTGCATGCAAGCAAGAGCTGGAGGGCAGAATAAATGCGTCTGTTGGAAGGGCGGCCTCATGGCATGGAGTTGCTGTGTAACTACTAAAGAAATATATGATTGAACTCAACGATGACACCCACTCAGCTGACTGAAATCTTCATATTACATGAATACAGAATTTTATTTATTAATGAAATCCACTGACCAGAACTGAGCCTGTTTAGTTTTTTTAATAAATGTGAAATTTATAACTGAAAGAGTGAAAACAAACCTTGCTTCCAGTCACAGTGTAATTTCAGAAATTTTACAGACTTCCTATTTACATATAATTTATGGATTTTTGGGCCACAAAACGCACACAAACAACTGATATGTGATAAGGAACATATGATTATAGAATTTTATAGATTTTATGAGTGCAGGAGCCATCAAGTGGCTTTATAGTTATTTCAACCATGTGCAGTGGTACAGTACACAGTGAAACGAGACAGTGCGCCTCCAACACTATGCTGCTACATATAACTTATAAGGCACAATTAACACGGGACTACGTAACGTGCAACACCAGATACACCACATTGCAGACACAACAATGCAATAGAAAGGTGCAACAATGACAGTAGGTTGTGCAAAAAAAACCTTGATGTATGAAAGTCTGTGTGTACATGACACTGTACAGATAAATGCTTGAGGTAGTGACATGTATAAACGTATGTGTGTGTGTGTGTGTGTGTGTGTGTGTCAGTCCAGTCACTGATTCTTTAGGAGTCTGACGGCTTGGGGGAGGAAACTTTTTTGCAGTCTGGCAGTGAGGGCCCAAATGCTCCGGTACCTCTTGCCACATGGCAGCAGGGTGAAGAAGCTTTTACAACAGGGCAATAGGGGCCTAATCAATGCTAACAGCTGATCTTATTGGCTACCTCCCTGGACTTTTTTGGGGGGGGGCAATAACAATAATAATAATAATGATATGCAATAATGCTGCATTTTATCACACATCTTGTATTTTTGTGCCGCTCACATAAACCTTACTCAGAGGATTGAAAACTGTTGTTTTATGTAAAGACAAAATGGCTGTTAGGTTTATTTCACCACATCCACACCTGTGTCACGATGACCTACATTCAGCAGCATCCTTATCACCTTATCTGTACATATAGCTGAAAAGAAACCCACTCAGCTGTTCTGAGAATATACAGTGTGAGATCTCGCATGTGAATTAAACATTTGCGTTGGAGTGTTTCCATATCAGTTCTTCTTCTGTTCAACCACGCTAAAGATAGACTGCAGTTTTTAGTGCAATACATTGTGCACTACTGATAGAAAAGGTTCAGGAAGACCTGCTTGTTTTTATTTTCTGATATACAATATATACTGTTGCAGTAATGCTTCTCATGATAAATATGTCTTGATGCATTTTCAATCATTCAGGTAAAGAAATTCCAACTCTGTTCGAAACGTTTGATTAGCACTGTTGCCTCACAGCAAAAAGGTCCTGACGTGCGCTTAGTGGGGTTTGGTTAATTGGTGATTCTAAATCACCCATAGGCGCGAAAGGTTGCCTGTTTCTCTGTGCGACATACTTGTGGTCTGTCCAGGTTGTACCCTGCCTCTCACACTATGGGAAGCTGTTCCAGATGTCACTGACAACGGTTATCTCCAGTATTGTAATCTCAGAAACATATCTCTAACTGTGAGCAGGAAAGTCCCACCCACCTGCTGTTTGAAACCACATGTTTGTGAGGAATCATAAGAAGGTTGGCTTAAAGAGGAGCTAACAGAGCTCTTTCTGGATAGTGGATGAGATGGGAGTGGAGAAGGGTTTGACAGCAGGCTTTGTTTCTATTTCTACTTTTTGAAACTCCCGGAACGACAATTAAGCCTGTATTTTTTAGAGGCCTGCAATAAAAAAAATAAAGTTGTTTTAAATCTAAGAACCAGATTTTCAGCATCACACTGAGGCAGGATGTTTCTCATTAAAAAAAAATTTCCACTTAAAGAAGGAAATCCTGGGTATTTGTTTAATGAGCATGCTGAAAGTCATATCCCGGTCAAAAGTTACTCCAAACTTTCTCAGTGTTCTTGCAAACCAAGGTAATGTCACCCACAGTAAGTGTGTTGTGGAACCTCTTTACACAGGTACTCTGTAACCTACACCCTAACCCAGGGGTGGGCAACTCCAGGCCTCGAGGGCCAGTGTCCTGCGGGTTTTAGATATCACCGTGGGTCAACACAACTGAATCAAATGATTAGTTCATTACCAGGCCTCTGCAGAACTACAAGAAATGCTGTGGAGGTAATTTAGCCATTTGAATCATCTGTTATTTTGGATAACACCGGCCCTCGAGGCCCGGAGTTCCCCACCCCTGCCTTAACCTGATATGGACCTCCCTTGTATTGTAACTGCACTTTTCATCATTTCCTGCTAGTTTTTCACAAAACCTTTGGAACGGATTAGCGAGAGTATACAATAATCACCATCTCAATATAAAGATTTGTCTCAAAATAAGGACTCACAGATATCAGCAAATTCCTGGAGAGAGACTGCTGAAACTATTGGAATGAATGTGAATGTGTGTTATAAAAAAGCCAACAAAGGATGTGGCCAAGAGGGGGAAACGGTCCCAATATTTGTTTCTATAAAAACGTATAAAACATCTGGATGTAACCACAAGGTAATTGACGCATAAGAATTCACAAGAAACGATGATACACAAGGATACAGGTGAGGTTCATTCAAATTCAAAACAGAAAATGAACCACGAGAGGTCACACAAATAAAACTACACTTTAAAATATACAAAAAACAAAGATTCAAAAGCAAAAGAAAGAACCAGCTAAATGTAAAATGTATGTTAACACAAAATCTAAACAATATACTTTGGAAAGAAAAATTCAACATTCATTATATTAACTAAAATGAGACAAAACCCACTGCAACACTATGGAGCAATTTATGTGAAGACTTTCTGCAAAAATCCAAATAATGTGACTTTTATGTAGACCGGGGTGGAATAAAAATGATCAATACTTCAGTGAAATTACTCATTTATAATAATAGCACCACCCACTGTACTTGCTACAGTAGGTAGCTAAATAAGGACTTTGACTGAACCCCCTGAGTTTGCGAACTCAGTTTATCCTTTGTCCCTAAATGTTATTTTGATGGGTGATTAATATACTTATGGACACTATCACTAATACTAATACTATAATACTATACAAGGGTCCTTGCATCATGTCTTGAAAACTCTAATGAGAAACTCTAATGTTCTCGATCTTATCTGTTGTTCTAGCGTTATTCCTCAACATTAAGAACACTGATATAACTGGCTTCTTCAGTGAAGTTGACAGTCTTCCTGATGATAGACAGGAATAGATAAATGATTCTCCATCACAGGGTTTTACTACTAGAATGGAATAAACAGTCTGCTGGATGCTTTTGCACCTTTGAAAACTTCTCACTGTTTTACTTCAGAATTGCACCAACATAAAGAAAAGGAAATCACCCTTTTCTCTAAACAGCATCCTTCAACGACCTGACATTTTTTCCACCTCTGTTTTACTGCCCTGAGCAGTGTAATACTTTTAGGGTTTTAATAATATTCACTGTTTGATGAACGATCTGGATTTATTAATAAATCTAAACCTTCTGCTGCATGTAACCCAATAAGTTCTGCTTATACTCTCTCGCTCCTTTAATAATTAACATTATACAGTCTTCCCTAATCTCTGGCTTTGTCTTTCTAGAAAAACAAACAGTTGCAGTACAAATTTACAAATTCACTCTCACCTTACATCATACCCGTCAGTCGTTTTTGCATTTGAACAACTTGAGTCTCTTTTTTTTTCCACAGTACACAGTATTATTATTTCAGTGCTAATTTAAAAACTCACATCCATCCATCCATTCGCTTCCGCTTATCCTTTTCAGGGTCGCGGGGGGCGCTGGAGCCTATCCCAGCTGTCATAGGGCGAGAGGCGGGGTACACCCTGGACAGGTCGCCAGTCTGTCGCAGGGCCAACAGGCAGGGACAGACAACCATTCACACTCACATTCACACCTAGTGGCAATTTGGTTTATCCAATTAACCTATCCCCACAAGCTGCATGTCTTTGGACGGTGGGAGGAAGCCAGAGTACCCGGAGGGAACCCACGCAAACACGGGGAGAACATGCAAACTCCACACAGAAAGACCCCGGCCTGATGGTGGAATTGAACTCAGGACCTTCTTGCTGTGCGGCAACAGTGCTAACCACCGTGCCACCGTGCTGCCAAAAAAAAACCCAACTCACATATTTGGACAATTTATATTCTTCTACCACAAAAACATACAAGTGTTCACTGAAGTAAATACACAGCGTAGTAGTGGATTTTTTAAAAATGTGTTTATTTTATATTTATATATAAAATAAACACACATTTGTATATTTTATCTTTATTTTGATTTGCCGCTAACTGCCTTGCTTTTATTTGTGGTTTTTGTAGTAGGGAGAACTAAAAAAAACTGCAATTTTCTTTTTTTTAAAGTGCAGTTAACAAATGTAGTGCTCTCTACTATGTGAACCCATGACCTAAATTTTTAGGTTTTTAATTTCAAGTCAATTAAATTAAATCCGAAAAAAAAATCAAGTGATCTCCTATGAGCAAGCACCAGGCAACAATGGAAAGGAAACATTCCCTTTTAACAGGAAGAAACCTACGACAGAACCAGGCTCAGGAAGGGGCAGTCTTCTGCCATGACTGGTTGGGGGGTGAGGGGCAAAATAAAATTGAACATAAAGGAAAGCACAGCATATTTAAGACAGGTGGAAAACTGGAAACATTATTACTGCTTTTAAAAGGTAACTGGTCCACATCCACAATTACAGTAGGGCTGAAGTAGATAATAAGCATGATCCCACAGAGAACAGCAGGACATTCACTTCAGCCGAAAAGCTTTGAGATGGCACAGCAAGCTGCAGGAACAACAATGGCCGCTGTGGCAAGACCTAAACCTACTTTAAGTAGGTATTTGTGACCATGACACCATGAACCACGGGCCTCAGCCTCCTCAGTATTGACATTTTTTTCAACTGTTATTTTATGCATGGTCTGATTTGGGCATTTAATTTGTTGTAAGGGGTGCTTACAAGATGAGTGCCTTGAGTGCCTTAAAAGGTGCCATTAAATAAAATGCATTATTATTATTATTAGTAGTAGTAGTAGTGGTAGTATCAGTAGTAGTAGTAGTAGTACTTATGTTGGATTTGTGGCAGATTGGAAGCCACACTGACTCACTACACCATCTTGTGGTTCTAAACAGAATTATAAGGATATTGCCCGTTCTACTACAACTTCAGTCTCTGCACCTCTCTGCAACACTGCAATACATATGATCTGATGGGCCCTAGTTTACTTTTCTTTTTTTTTTTTTGGTCTTTTAAAATTTATTTCCTGGGTGGCTGTAATTCAGGAGGTAGAGAAGGCCAACTAGTATTTGATGTTCTAGCATAAGGGTATGAATGTTAGAAAGTGCTGGGACACAGAAAAAAAAGGTAAAAAATGTTTGTATATAAGAGATGTTGTGTAAAGTTCTTTGACTGCTTGAGCAGAGAAGCGTTATGTAAAAACCAGTCCGTTCATCATTTATTGCCTCAACGTTCCTTTCTTCCTTTCGTGGAACAGAGAAGTATTCATATATGTGCCCACATACCTGTATACTTAAATTTGTTGCTACTTTCTAATTGTTACATAGAGATTTTTTTTTTTAAATCCAACCCTTTTATGAGCTACAGAGGTGTGTGTGTGTGTGTGTGTGTGTGTGTGTGTGTCTGTCTGTCTGTCTGTCTGTCTGTCTGTCTGTGTGTGTGAGTGAAAGAGGCAGCAACAAAAAAAGCGAATATGTGGCATTTCCTTCACAGCCTCATTAACCTCTAAATACCATTTTAACATCAAAGGCCGTGTCATTGCTCACACCTCTATCTCTCTCAAGTCCACTCTCTCCACATGTGCACACTTCTCCGGGAACGGATATTTTATGCAAAAAAAATAAATTTTAAAACAAGGGACCCATGAGAAGTATGAAATACAAACACAGTTCTTTACAGCTTTGCTACTGCAAGCAAGAAAAGGCAGAAAGAGAGATGGGGAGGAGCAGGTTTAGTTTATGTTCCCATAAATCCTCGTTAACATGTGACTGCTGACACCGTATGTGTGAACCAAAAGGAGATATGACTTTGTCCTGCACTGAGGAGACTACAAGTCTGGGCTGCTGTGAGAACAGATGAGTTCA